CCGGGGAGGGCTAGGGTGGGAGGGGGTGGGGGGGCGTCCCTGGGCTCATGGAGCCGGTCGAGCGGGCGGGAGGCGGGGAGCCCCCGGAGCCGGGCGGGCGTCCCGGGCTGGGCCCGAGGGGCTTCGTCCCGCAGAAGGAGATCGTCTACAACAAGCTGCTGCCCTACGCCGAGCGGCTGGACGCCGAGTCCGACTTGCAGCTGGCCCAGATCAAGAGCAACCTGGGCCGGGCGGTGCAGCTTCAAGAGCTGTGGCCCGGAGGCCTCTTCTGGACCAGGAAACTCTCCACGTAAGTGTGCCTGGGCCTACGGGACGAGCCGGGGGCAAAGGCTCAGTGGGAGGGCGTCGCGGTGGGGGGTGGGAGAGTCGCTCTTTGTCCGGACGGCTGGACCATCAGCTGTGTCTTGGCTGGAGCCGTCCCCGTGCAGGGGTCCCAGAGTCGCGACGAGTCTGTGAAGCACTCAAGCCCCCTTCCTGCCACTTTCTTACGGGACCTCGTGGTCTTCACCAGCCCTCCCCAGTTGCTTCTCCTCAAGGGTTCGGAATGTTGTCTTCCGACCTGCGGGGCCCTGGGGAGCCGGAGGGCCCCGGGCCCCGAGGGACAGAGAAGAGCCATCCCCTAAGGTCCTCCTTGGACTTGTGCGCGTGGGGGAGGCGCGGCAGAGAGGATTCGTCTTTGCGGGAGGAACTCCTGACTTCTCGACTTCTCCCCGTGCTTCCTCCGGCTCTTTCGTCCCCTAAGATCCCTGCCTCTTCACATCTGTCTTGGTTCGCGTCTAGTGACTTTCTAAATGGAAGGAGGCTGTAGGGAAACTTGTGAGTTCTGCTTTTTTGGCTTGCTCTGTCTACGTGGATTTGATTGAAAAGATTGGTTTAAAATCAGCCCTCAGCTCATTCTTGGGCTGTAGAGATTAGACGTCAGTGTTGAGAATGTTGTCTTAGAACCCGAGGAAAGTGTATGTTGCACCTGTTGTGACATTTCCCTTGGAGAGACCATTACAATACTAAGGAAAATAGGGAAGAGCTGTCAGGTTGTCCAGGGCGTTATTAGTAACAGGCTTGTGTTAATTTTCGAGTCGCTCAGATCAACATAGATTACCTAAATCAGTTTCCGGAATTCTGTTGTTGCTGCTGTTCTTCTGCATAAACTAGTTGCAAACTATAGTGTCAAAGTAAAAATACAAAGAGGAAAAAGATTAGAGACGTTATTTCCTAGATGGGCTTCTTCACTGTCAGAACTTTTTAAAGGAGAATTTTGTTGTATCTTGTTTTGGTTAACTGTACATAAAATCTGGTAACATTTGGATCTTCATGCATGTGGGGATGGATGGATGAACACGCAAGACATAAGTCTCTTATTCAGCGTTTACCTAAATCTGCCGAGTGAACTGGGTGATGACTCAGGGTTTTGTAATGCAATAAATAGTCTTCTTTATATTTCCTTATAGGATGGTTCATATCTGCCAGTTATCAAGTGGCCTCTGACAAATTTCTCATCTCCTCTTGGAGGGTGGGTGAAAATAATTACCTTTTTATTTAAAAGGAAGCAAAACTAGAACATTTAGACTTTGCCTTCTTCAAAGAGTGACCGTAAGGGCCGGCCCGTGGCTCACTGGGGAGAGTGTGGTGCTGATAACACCAAGGCCCCGGGTTCGGATCCCATATAGGGATGGCCTGTTAGCTCGCTGGCTGAGCGTGGTGCTGACAACACCAAGTCAAGGGTTAAGATCCCCTTACCGGTCATCTTTAAAAAAAAAAAAGAGTGACCATAAAATGTCAAGGTTAACAGCCCTCCTTTTGACTGGAGTATAAAGAAGTTTGTGGTGTTAGTTATCCATAAGAGAATTGGAGGAAAAAGGAACTCAACAGGGAGAAGAACCACTTTTAGTCAAAACAGAAGAGTGTTTTATAAATGATTAAAAATCAAATGCATATTCAAGTGAGCCTCCTATATGTTTGTGTTACTTAGGCACAGTAAAAATAAAGTTACTTTGTCAGTTTCAGTAATTCCCCATTTTAATCACTTGTATTAGTCGAAGAATACTATTCTGGGGGACTAAAACGGCTCCTTTTAGGTGCATAATATATAAGTATGCCAGTGTGTGGAGGCATAGCTGGTGTTGATTTATGAACCTAGAACTTCATAGGGATAGTTAAGCATTGTTTTTTGAAGCATTTATTGTTACCACGTTTGGTAAATTAGCATCTAGAGTTTTATTATTGTTTTGGCTTATTAGGTAAAAGTAGTTCATACCTACAAAGGACTAAAATGCATTGGAGACAGTGCTTGGTGTTTAGGGTAGGATTGCAGTTAGATGGTTTAATACCTGTGAACTCATAACCATTTATATCTAAATAATCAAGAAATTCTATGAGGTAGAATGTTATTTTGGAATGGTGGTTAAATGCTGGAAGCCGATTCTTGGGATTGCAACAGGAGACATTTTGAACTTGGTGGAGCATGTTGTGATCGTGGGTGTGTTTTTTCTCCTAAGTCATGTTAAGGTGACCTGTTTATAGTTGAGCTTGTTTTTTAAGCCTTGTGTGTTGCATAAGTTAACATTTAAATAATGCCAAATGTGTGACGATAGCTGAGTAGTATCATATTTAAATCTTGGTAGAAGAATGGAAAGTAGTAATGAAAATAAAGTCTAGATTCTACCACTAACTCTGCAACCATGGTAAAGTTACTTAATCATGTATTTCAGTATTATGAGTGAAATGAGGGAGTTGGACTAAATAATTCCTGAGAACCATACCTGCTCTGGTATTCTATGGTTTTATTTATTTTTCTTCCTGTTGATCTTCACATAAATCCTTGAATCTTTCTGCAAGGACCCTTTGAGTAGTTTGTAAAGTACTAGAAGTAGTTGCATAGATAAACTACATTCCTGAAGAAGACCAGAGTATAAATGCTGTTCAGAGGCACCGGAACTGTATCCCCAACTAGAAGTGTGCACCCTTAATCTGGGCATTACAGGTATGTTTGGGGTCGAGTTCTGGTTTGGGAGGTACTCGGGTTCTACATTTGGCCTCCCTTTTTGACTTTTTAATTTATTTTAATAGTTTCAATCCATTTTGAGACTTGCAGGTCTGTTTAGCATCTCTGAAGAAAGGTTATTTCTGTGTATTTTTTAAAATTGGTCCTGACAACACCACGTCAAGGGTTAAGATCTCCTTACCGGTCTCATCTTTAAAAAAATAAGAACTGCTTGTTCAAGAGATTGTGTGATGTAATCCATCACAGGGCAGATTTTTAAGGAAGGAGGAAACAAATTGGAGAAAGGAGGAATAAACTAGTGGTCTTTGGAAAATGGCAGTTAAGACAGATCATGGACATTGTAAGTGAAAGGTATTGGCAGATAGTTGTAGGGCCATGTAGACAATGTAGGGAGTTGAAGAAAGGTAATCTTATAACTTGCTTTTGCTCCCCTTGCCCTTCTTTACCTTTCATGAGAGGCAGCAAGGTTTAGTTAGAACACCTGTTTCTATCTGGCTTTGCCACCAACTTTTATCATCTTGGTCTTGTCCTCTTTTAGCTTTAGAGTCTTCCTACAGAAGATGAGAGTTTAGGGCCGGACCGTGGCTCACTCAGGAGAGTGTGGTGCTGATAACACCAAGGCCCCGGGTTTGGATCCCATGTAGGGATGGCTGGTTAGCTCACTGGCTGAGCATGGTGCTGACAACACCAAGTCAAGGGTTGAGATCCCCTTACCGGTCATCTTTAAAAAACAAAACAAAAAAGAAGATGAGAGTTTAGACTATTAGTGATTTTTGAAACTTAAAATTTAGTAGTGGAATGTTTTATAAAAATGAAATTTTAAATACAAGATCAAATTCCTCAGGCAGATTTAAAACCCTACTGATTTTTTTTTTTTCTACAAGCTTACCCCATCCATAATCATTTCTTTCTTTCATTTTTTTTTTTTTTTAGAGAATTTAGATTTTAGTAAAGTATGTGGGTTTGGTGTAATATGAAGCAAATTTAGATCATTTGTTACAGTGACATGATATATTCTGCAAATGACTGCGTATTATACTGTGGAATCATTTCATTTGCTAATTAAACCTTATCAGTTTTCTCTTTACTACGTTTCCAGAATGTATCTCTAAGGGGAAAAACAAAAAAAAAAACAAAAAAAACCCCCCAAAAAGCCAGCAATCCCAATACCATTATCAAAGGTAAAGAAAACCTAACATCCCATATCACTTTGATCAACTTCATGAAGTTCTGCTTCTTTACAGAATTTGTAATTTTACTTCTGAATTTCCACTTGGTTTGCATTGTTTTGTCTAAGGTTTACCATAACTAGACTTCATGGACAGAGATTTTAAAAAATAACTCATTAATGAACATTTCCATATTGTGACATCTTTCTTTTCTCCTTCTTTGGAGATTTAGACTCAATCCTGGGGTAACAAGTATTCTCTTGAGTTACCTCCATTTTAAAAATGAAGACACTGAGGCTCATGTATTAGTACGTAGTCATAGGTTAATACAAAGTAGTAGAGGCAGGATTCAGTTTTCTTTGAACACATTTTTTCGAGTGTCTTGTGTGGGCTGGGCACTGTTTTTGGCATTTGGGATATATCAGTGAAAGACTTCTGCCCTCTGGAGGTTAGAGTGTGCTCGTTAGTGTACTGTTTTGTTCATTTAGGACAGACCACGCAGGGTCGTAGCTCCATCAAGAAATTTGGGGAAAGAAAATATGAATTCCAAATGTATTACTTAAAAAAAATCTCTTATTCTGACCAGTGTGTTTTAATGCCTTACATTGAGGCACTAAGAAAGGCAGTTAGGAAAGAAATCATAAAACAGTAAGTACCATTCAATGTCCTTCTGAGATCTGAATGTTATTTAAAAACAGTTTTCCCAGGTATTCTTGCTGCAGTGTTGTAAAATAAAATTGTACTTGAAAATACATGTTCTTAATTGAAGTGGAGGCAAATTTTTATTGTTTATTTGGGGAAGTTTATTTATTAGTAAATAAGTGTACAACTTCTAAAACAGTTTTTCTCATTGTGGAACTTGGGAATTAGCTTTTCTTTATTGTGTGAAACTCATATCTAGTGAATTCTCTTCCCCCACTTTTTAATACAAAACCCCAATATGTGTTTCTAACCTTTGTAGAAAATTAGATCAGTCTCATTCTGTGTGAACAGCAAACTGAGAGCATGGTAATAAAAGCAATAGCAAGCAAATAACAACAGCAACAGAAAACCCCTGCATTCATTGAGACCTCCACTGGAATGTTAAAAGCAGCACATACTATAAATATTCCCATTTGG